AAATTCGACATTTCTACCATTTTTTTCACTGAAGAAAACCCCAAGCTATTGATATCTGAAGTTAATGTCCTATCAATATGTAAAACTGAAAATATCTCTTTAATAGAGGTCACATTACATTAAATTAAATGAATCAGATTATGTTGAAGATATAATAAAAGTTGAATGTTATATTTGCTGGAGATCAATTGATTCTACAAGAAAACATTTAAATGTCTGAAAATGAGAATGAACAAACAAATAATCAAATAAATCAAATAAATGATATGAAATAAAAAGGCATCATAAAAACAAAAAGTACATTACTATCTTTTGAAAGATAGAAAGAAAAAAATAGCTTAGTTTTGTATTTGTTCACAATTTTCATCAAGCGAATTTTGATTAAATATTTGCAAAATTGTTTTGGCGCAATTTTCACCAATCTGAACTATTATACACCACTTTCACTAAAAGATGGGTTTCTTTATTTTAGTGTCAAATTAAGCAAACTATTTGATAAATTGGTGTTTTTAATGAATTCTCATGTATTCTTAATCATATCATTATGTTCTTATTGCATATAATTAAGAGTTTTAACCAATCATAAATGTCCATGTATGTACTGTCTGGATAAACAGAAAAAGACTTTTTGACCTTTCTTGGTCAGTCACTCATTGGAATTTTGCTTGTAATTCTCTTCTTATTTATCTAATTATGAAATAATTATGGACATATGAGACAAACTGGTATTTTTCCAAGTCTTTAGAACTGTCCTACTTTCTATTTATATAAGTATTAGCATTTTCATTTTCATAAATCAAAATAAGGGAACCCAATTTTAACAGTTGTATTGAGCACAATTTTTACTAAACAGTTCTATTATACACAATTTTTACTAAACAGTTCTATTATACGCAATTTTTACTAAACAGTTCTATTATACACAATTTTCACTAAACAGTTCTATTATACACAATCAATTTTCACTAAACAGTTCTATTATACACAATCAATTTTTACTAAACAGTTCTATTATACACAATCAATTTTTACTAAACAGTTCTATTATACACAATCAATTTTTACTAAACAGTTCTTTTATACACAATCAAATTTTACTTAACAGTTCTATTATACGCAATTTTTACTAAACAGTTCTATTATACGCAATCAATTTTTACTAAACAGTTCTATTATACACAATCAATTTTTACTAAACAGTTGTATTATACACAATCAATTTTTACTAAACAGTTCTTTTATACACAATCAAATTTTACTTAACAGTTCTATTATACGCAATTTTTTACTAAACAGTAATATTATGCACAATTAATTTTTACTAAAGAGTAATATTATACACAAATAATTTTTTACTAAATAGTAATATTATACACAATTTTTACTAAACAGTTGTATTATACACAATCAATTTTTACTAAACAGTCGTATTATACACAATCAATTTTTACTAAACAGTTCTATTATACACAATTTTTACTGAACAGTTCTATTATACACAATTAATTTTACTAAACAGTTCTATTATACACAATTAATTTTTACTAAACAGTTCTATTAAACACAATAAATTTTTACTAAACAGTTCTATTATACACAATTTTCACTAAAACGTTGAAAACAATCAAATGGATTTTTACCAGAATAGCAGGCATCAATATTATATTGCTGTAAGGAGAAGAATCTATAAAATTATTGCTACCAGAGCCAGAAGTATTCTACCAGTGTTCAATTTTATGACTATATACATGATTATTAGGCTATATAAAAAGATATGTTGAAAATGATGAATGAAGCAAGTCTGTTATAAATCTAAAACTACTGTATCTACTAAAATATCAGTATCTTCTAATATCTCATGAATTGATTCTGTGAATTATGAAATAGTAGTCAGTTAGTTTTAAAATTTCCTCAGTCCACTTTTGTGAACAGGTAAAACTTTTGTATAAAAGACAAATGACAATTTAGAATTACTGGACAGCTTTACACTATAATGTAATACAAACCAAGGCATTGTAAAAATTAACTTGTGAATTGTAAGTAATAAAACCACAGTTATTGGGCACCCTAATCTTTTAATGTCCAGACTAATTTGTACCATGTAGTTACATTGGTAAACAGGCTATTTCATTACATTTCAAGATATTTCATTACATTTTAGTACTATTATTTTCCATGTTATTTATTACATTAAAGCTATTAAAACATTCCTGGTTTACTTTCAACAGTCATCTTTAAACTATTTCAATTAATCAATAAACATTTCAATTCATTCCATATTACAATGAATTGTTATAAAATGGATATACCAGGGTTTTTTATTATTACTTTAAGACTATTATAACAATCTTTTCTATTTATTACATTAAGATATAATGTGGCATGCTATTTATTACATCAATAAACATTTCAATTCATTCCATATTACAATGAATTGTTATAAAATGGATATACCAGGGTTTTTTATTATTACATTAAGACTATTATAACAATCTTTTCTATTTATTACATTAAGATATAATGTGGCATGCTATTTATTACATCAATAAACATTTCAATTCATTCCATATTACAATGAATTGTTATAAAATGGATATACCAGGGTTTTTTATTATTACATTAAGACTATTATAACAATCTTTTCTATTTATTACATTAAGATATAATGTGGCATGCTATTTATTACATCAATAAACATTTCAATTCATTCCATATTATAATGAATTGTTATAAAATGGATATACCAGGGTTTTTTATTATTACATTAAGACTATTATAACAATCTTTTCTATTTATTACATTAAGATATAATGTGGCATGCTATTTATTACATCAATAAACATTTCAATTCATTCCATATTACAATGAATTGTTATAAAATGGATATACCAGGGTTTTTTATTATTACATTAAGACTATTATAACAATCCTTTCTGTTTATTACATTAAATGAAATAGCATGACTTTTTGTTTTATAATTTTCCAAGTTATTTATTTTATTGAACTTTTATAACATTCTTGGTTATTTATATTACATTAAGCTATTATTATACTATACTTCAATGGACACTGCCAAGTTTCAGGTTTCTAGTTGTATGTACTTTCAGTCGAATGACAAATTACAACTGTTACAAAATCATTTGTTCAGAATTTTTGTGTAATGAGGGGTGTGCTATAGTCACATTATTTGTAGTAGTAATTTCTTGTAATAATGGTAGTTTAGTAAATTATGGTAGCTAACCAATTTTTCATTTTGAAATCTTACAGTAGAATGAAATGATTGTAATTTGAAAATTCTAAGCCGACAATTTGGTCTTTTGTTAATTTTAATGTATGTGATTAAATCTTGTATGGGTTACGCATTTGAAACTTTTTGTGAAAAGATTTAATTTCATTTTAATTTGAAACATTTGATGGCTTTTCAATTTTGCTACTGAAAGCAGTTCTAATGAAAAGGCAACAAGAAAAAAGCATCAATGCACATATTATATAGGATATGAAAAAAAACCTTTTATTATGTGTATCATGCAAAATGAAAAAAAAATAAGAGCATAATAATGTCTTACACAAGTGGTTGAAAATTGAAAAAATTAATAAAAACACCAAGATAAATATTTGATCTTGCTGTGGGAGGTGAGGTAGTTAACTTATCATTCTCTGTATTAAAAATGGTGTAAGTGACCACATAGGAATTGTGCAATTATTAATATAAAGAAGAAGATTGTGTAAAATACCAAAACTATTAGGTGTCAAATTATCCACAAGTTTATTGCTATTTTAATGGAATGATAAGTTATGAATTTTAAAAAGGAAATAAAGAGAATCATTGTTTTTACCATGAGTGAAATAGAGGTATTGACCCTGATATATATTTGGGAAATTTTGTTAAAGGGACAGGTTTGCCATCCATTAAACTAATCACACCTTAAGCTCTTAGCTGAGCTAATCAGTAATAGTGTTCACAGTTCACTGCTGAAATTTGATCCTTCAAATCCAGTGTGTTATCAGCATTTGAAAGTTATAGAAAAGACTTATTAGAAATAGTAAAGGAAATTACTTTAAGGTATTTTTGAAGGAATTATGTGATTATTTCCTACATTTCTAGTACTTCTATATTTAAGACCTAAATCAATCCCCCAAAATGGAGAATCTGTCCCGTTAAGTTTGAAGATATTATATTTTTTAGGATGATATGGCTGGTGTAGGGAAAGGTTGTAACCATCAACATATTGGACAGACATCTTGTATTAAAGGTGGAAGAATTGATGCTAGTTGTTGTGTTGATTCTCATTTCCATAGAGCATGTCAACACCAGCCTGGTCTAACCAATGGTGTCTTGTGTTGTAAAATGCCAGGTATGTTATGGAGACTGTTCTCAAATTACACAAATTTCATTATGCTGATATGCATATTGCTCCAAATATTTTATGACTTATGCTTTCTTCTCAATGTTCCAGTATTAGGATTTCAATGTGTTAAATACATGTCAATTGGAATCATACATCAGGAGTAAAGAATATCTCAATGTAAAATATCATGCTTCATTTTTCATCTGAATGAGAGATGAACACATCTCAAACTATCTAGTTTTAGTCAACTTATTTAGCATTGGTAAACAGTCTATTTCATTACATTTCAAGATATTTCATTACATTTTTCATTTGAATGAGAGATGAACACATCTCAAACTATCTAGATTTAGTCAACTTATTTAGCCACTATATGACATTGGCAACTGTATCCATTTCTAGCATACAATCTTGTTTTTACCAAATCCATGTTATATTTTCAGTTAAACTACCTCGTATTGTGGTAAAACCACCAGAAAAGATGAGTGTATATACAGGATTAATATTTTTATTACCATGTCAAGCTAGTGGTATGCCACCACCTAGAGTTCAATGGTATAAAGATGGTACTCAATTGTCCGATACTAATAATAGAATCTCAGTCTTACCTTCAGGTAATTATTTCATTTGATTTAATTGTAACTGTAATTATTTGATTGTAACAATTATTATTTCAGGTGATTTAATTGTAAGATTGATCATTTCAGGTGATTTAATTGTAACAATTATTATTTCAGGTGATTTAATTGTAAGATTGGTCATTTCAGGTGATTTAATTGTAACAATTATTATTTCAGGTGATTTAATTGTAAGATTGGTCATTTCAGGTGATTTAATTGTAACATTGATTATTTCAGGTGATTTAATTGTAACATTGATCATTTCAGGTGATTTAATTGTAACATTGATTATTTCAGGTGATTTAATTGTAACAAAAATTATTTCAGGTGATTGAATTGTAAGATTGATCATTTCAGGTGATTTAATTGTAAGATTGATTATTTCAGGTGATTTAATTGTAAGATTGATTATTTCAGGTGATTTAATTGTAACATTGATCATTTCAGGTGATTTAATTGTAAGATTGATTATTTCAGGTGATTTAATTGTAAGATTGATCATTTCAGGTGATTTAATTGTAAGATTGATTTACT